TGTCGGAGGTACTACACCCATCGGCCCAACTCATAGCTAGTCGTCTCGCATGGTGGCATAGAGAGGACCTGACCTGTCACTTCCATTCTATTTTATGCAGGGGTCAAGTCCTGGGGAAAAAGATGTGGGAACTCACCCAAGATCCCCCTCTCTCCCGGCCCTTTCCCCCCCCCCACCACGTGTTACTGCAGGACTCAAGCACTGGTCATAAGAGTGACAGGAATCATAATGATAGTGAATATAAGAGTGAGATGAGATCACAGTGATAGTAAATAGTAGAGTGAGAGTGACAGTGACAGTGAATATAAAAGTGAAAGGAGATCACAGTGATAGTGAATATAAGAGTGAAAGGAGATCATAGTGATAGTGCATATAAGAGTCAGAAGAGATTACAGTGACAGTGAATATAAAAGTGAAAGGAGATCACAGTGGCAGTGAATAGAAGTGAGAGGAGATCATCCTAAAGGTGAATAGAAATGTGAGAGTCACTACAATAATGGTGAATAGAACAGTGATAGTGAACAAAAGAGTGTGATGAGATGAGTGAGAGTGTACAAGTATAAGAGGAGATCACTCTGAAAGTGAATAGTAGAGTAAGAAGAGATCACAGTAATATTGTCCCATCCTGCTCTGTTCTGCGGAGATGTCTGGGCTTGGCTTCTGGTATCCAGTACTCTTTTTACAATTCTTGTTTAGTTTTTCTTGGTTTTTCTGGTTTTCTATTCCATGTCTTGTTTTCTGGGTTCATTCCTTTATTCCTTTCCTGGAATTCCCAGTCTCCTGGATTCCTTTATATGTTTGTTTTATGTTGCCACGCCCTTTCCTTTTCCATTAATCCTTTTGTTTCAGTTGGTTCCTGCAGGCAGTTGTTCTACGTCCTCTGCCCCTTTCTTGCAGGCAAGTACTGTGTGTGTTTTATTATTGTTTATTTAGTCATGCATATCTAGCCAGTCTAGTACCCACCGTAATTGGAGTATTTTGACGCAGTGGTGGGCTGCATACATCTTGGCCATTTATGTATGTATAAATCTCCAATGTTTTACATATATAATACTTAGCTATGTCTCCTCTTGTTTTTCCTTGTATTCCCAGTTAATGTACAGTCTTGTCCTGCCCTGTTCTTGTTTTCCTCATGTCTTGTGTACCTGTTCTGGGTTCTGCTAGTTTTGTCTTGTTTTTTTGCTTGGTGTCTATTCTAGTCTTGCCTTGTTTCTGTACTGGATACATATCTGCTATTCAGATCCTGGGAGGTCTATATATTGTCATCTGGCACCTGGGATCCACAGAAGCTGCATCAGGGCCCTGGTATGTGGCCACACAAATGCTGGTGCTCAACACCAGGGGGCGTGCGGTTACCCTGCACCAGGCCCTGCTAATCCATTTCCACACAGTGACTCCTACTATCAAAATCAGGCATACTGGGTCCCGGTCACCGGACCGCCACCCCTTGATAAATATTGAGCAGAAGTATAAAAGGGATCACAGTGATAGCGAATAGAAGTGTAAGAGATCACAGTGATAGTGAATAGCATAGTGACATATCTCAGTGATAGTGAGTAGAATAGAGACAGGTATCACATTGATGGTGAATAGAATAGTGACAGGAATCACAGTGATAGTGAATAGAATAGTGACAGGGATCACAGTGATAGTGAATAGAATAGTGACAGGGATCACAGTGATTGTGAATAGAATAGTGACAGGGATCACAGTTATAGTGAATAGAATAGTGACAGGGATCACAGTGATAGTGGACAGAAGTGTAAGAGGGATCACAGTGATAGTGAATAGAAAAGTCTTGGGGCCCCCTGTCCTGGGATGAACCTGACTCGATTCCAGACAGAACTCATGTGTTACCACACACATCCCATCACACAGTGTGATCATCATATAAACAAAACACTTACCTTTCAGGTAGATCACAGCACCGAGGACCAGCCAGATTCCCCTGTATCCTGGTCTCTTCATCCTGTAGGGGGCACTTCTGCCTAGATAGAAAGGGGACGTTGTGTAGGGCACCTCCTAAAAAAATATCCTAATTCAGGGGTCAGCACAAATACAAAATATCCCAAACACACAGAGGACACACACGCATCAGACAGCAGACTGGAATCTTCACCCACGTGTGCTGCAGGGATCCCTCCTACTGCCCCTCCTGAGCCCAGCCAGTCCTGCCCCTCTACCACAGGGCTGGGAGATCCAGACAGGGAGCCTGGGCTGCAGCATGCAGGGCAGGAGATCCCTTAAACCTGATCCATGCACAGCCAAATACCAGACTAGGAAAAGCTGCTCGCTGCTCTGCTGGAAAACCCAAAGAGGAAGGCCCTGGGGAGATAGCGCAGCTAAGCAGACAAGGGCACATGTAGGAGTGTGGGGATAGATTCAGGAGATTGGTTGGGAAAGAGTGTGTGGGTGGGATTATGTTCTGTGTAAATTAGTGTGGGGGAGGTCTTACCTCAGTGCCACTTGGGATTAGGGCCAGCAAACAGTTTCCTGTCTTCCAGCTCCTGTTTGCCTGGGCCTGCAGATTGACACAGCTTGAGGTGATGGATGTTGAGGCGATCCGGTCGTCCCTCAGGGCTGCTGCGGCGTGGATGGTGGCCGGCACCTAAGGGAGCAATTGACAAGCATTACTGGAGGTATGGCTGCCGGTGTGGGCACCCCCCCATGGCCTCCCCTCCTCTGGGGCACCACCTGTGGTCTCCCCTGCTGCCTCCCATGCGGCCCCTGCCCCTGGGGGCCGCATCAGCACTGGCAGGCATTCCCACCCGCCTGCCAGGCTGTCCCTGGATCCTACTCCCCGGGCCCGGTGAGGAGCAGGAGCCTGGGCCCGGGGCACCGCGGGGGCCACGTGTCTGGGGCTGCAGGCACGTGGCCTACTACTTGGGGCTGGGATTTGAGGCCTACTGAGGCCGCGGGTGGCACGGCCTTCAGACACGAGGCCTGCCACTGCCGCGCGGCCTGCTACCCCCATGGCCGCCCGGCCTGCTATTTACTGGGCCACCCGGTCGGCCTGCTCCTTCCTGGGCCACCCACTACCTCCAGGCCGGGAATGCGGCCTGCAACTGCCACGCGGCCTCCTGGTGCGGCTGCCGCGCAGCCTACTCCTCTCCACACCAACCGCCCCGGCCGCCAGTGCTGGATTGCGGGCCGGGGGCGGTGGGCGGCGGATCCCGCGATCCGGGCGGTGGGTGGCCGTCCGGCAGCTGTGCAGATCCTGCGCGGCCGGCGGGGAGGTGAGTGGGCCCTCGCGGCCGCTGGGGGGAGTCCCCTTGCCCGTCGGGAGCCTCCTCTGCCAGTGAGGAAGGCTCCTAGGGCTCTGTCTCCCCTCCCTCCCTCCCTCCCTATTTGGCTGGCTTTATTTTCTTCCAGGGGGCCCAGCTTTCCCTTGCCTGGGCCCCCTGGTCCCCCCCCCATTTCCTGGTTTTCTCTTCTCCCCCCCTCTCTGGTGGGCCTGCCCCCCTCTCCCCTCTTCTGCTCTAATCCCCTCCCCTATCACTCCCTATCTGCATCCCCCTCTGGGCTCCCTCCCTCTACCTTGCCTCTGGGCTTGCCTGACCCCCTCCCCTCTACCCTGCCTGACCCCTCCCCCCAGGTCACTTACCTCGGCCATCTCCTCTGGGGCGTGGGCTCATCTTCTCTGCTGCTTCCTTCTCAGCATGCTGCTGCAGTTCATGGATCCATCCAGCAGATGGCGCCTGGATCACAGCTGATGTCTTCTGTGGATGCTGGAACTTCTGTTTCTTTGCCTCAGCCTTCTGTGAGCGCAGTGCCGGGCTTGGATCACCAGGCTGCGTCCGGTGAGTACATTTCCCTTCTTTTAGCGCTTCGCGTGCGTACGTTCTTTCTTCCTAAAAAAATTAAAAAAATAAATAAAAAAATAAAAAAATTGATACAGACAGGGAAAAAATTACAGGACAGAAATACAAGGTAAATTACCTATTGGACTAAAAAAAAAAAAAGGAATCCAACATCGAGTACAAGGGGTAGAATTAAATATAATAAAAAAAAAAAGAATCCAACGTCAAGTGCAAGGGGGAGAATTCAATATATAAAAAGAATAAAATAAAAAAATTATATATATATATATGGGGAATCCACGATAAAACAAAATTTAGGTACCCCCTTTCCTTTTTCAGTATGTATTATACATTTAGGTACGCTTTCCCGCAGCGTCTGGCGCAGCTGATAGCGCCGGCGATGCCTCCCAGGTTCACTTGACTCTGGGCTGCTGAGCTCATGTGGCCCGCTTGGCTTGCACGTAACACTAGGGAGCAGATGGAGAATGGGGTTTTTTATCGAAGGATGTTCCCTCCTGCCATGGGGGTCCCTTGACTAAGGGGGACATTAGGGGCTCAGGGAGGGTCGTGGGGAGCATGCTGTGGTCAGATGCACCCCAGGGCGCATATCGGACAGGGCTCCCCGAGTCGGCGCTGTGTGGTTCGGCGGTCAGGACACTCTCGGGACGCGTATCGTCCCTGTGATAAGCTGGGTTGGTGGAGGTATGTTTTGCACGTTCGTCAACGGTTGGCAGTGCGACCCTTCTTGGCCTGGGGCCGGATGGGTTTTGCCGCTGGTTTTCTTTGGGGCTCACCTGGCCCCTCAGCACAGCCATATCCGTAGGCAACCGACGTCCCGTTGCAGGAATCGATCCCACTATCCAGGAGACTACAGCCCGTATCCCAACCCACGGATATGGCCTGGGCCGTAGTTCGGGCAGAGGTGTCACGGGGTCGATGTTAGGGCAGTGGAGGTGGTCGCCTGGTCCAACGGTCTGATGAAGCTGGTCCGTGGGTCACCCTATGAGGCGGCGTGGGGCCCACTCCAGTATGGCGGGAGTGATCGGGACTTTTCCTTGTAGGTTCCGGGAGTGGACTGCATATCTACATGTTTGGTTCCGTCTGTTGAGGGCGCTAGGGGTGATTTCTGCCATTGGCAGGGCTCGGCTTCCTGTTCATGTTACAGTTGTCGGCAAGTGGTGGGGTGTTTTGGTGGACGGACTTATTTCAGGTTTCGCCGCTCGACTGCTGTTGTCGTTGGGACGGGTAAGTCAGTTGCGGTGTGGCTGATGCGTCGATGGAATCTGTGCGATTCTTGGATGTTTCGGGGTCGACGTGCCCTGGCTTTTCCGCTTTCTCCTAAGGTAGATGGAATGCACGGGGTAATGGTTGGGCTCCTAACACGATGTAACGGGTTCCCAGGATGGCCTGACAAATTCCGTTCTGATCGGAGGCGGTGCAGGTTTCCGTCATTTGCCTGAAAGTTGGTGGGGAGTTCGAGGGGCATTTATTCTGGTTTGGGACGGCTACGGTCGCCGCCAGGCTTGGCGTGCCTGCGCCAATGGTTCAGGGGCTCGAATTTTGGGAGTCAGGGTGGTGGGTTCCTTCAGGTTCACCCTGCTGGTCTCCGAATGGATTTCTCACCGCGGTTACGGCCCCCCCCCGGAAAGGGGATGGTGGGATGCTCGTGTGTAGTTTGGGCCAGGAGGCGGGGGCGAGTGGTTGGATCTTACGCCTTCGGGAGCGGAGGTTCAGTGGTCTGGCACCAGTTACATGGTGGGGGTGTGGTCCTCCTCGTACGGGGTCAGCTGTCCCGCCTCTTGGAGGTACCAGGGTTTTTTTGTCATCTCTGGGTGGAATGATATGGGTTCGGTGTTGTATGGGGTGCTCTTCAATCTGGACATGTTGCGCATTCTGTTTTTCTTCCCAGAGGTTCTCAGGGGCTAGGCTGAGGCTATCGCCCGTCCCTGTCGGCAGTGCGCTCAGCAATGTGAGTGCCTTGGTGCGATGCCGTAAAATTCTGACGAGATGGGTTTCTGGGTTCGTCTTGGGGGATTACAGTTCGCCTTAGGGTTTGGCCGGATGCGGCCTAGTTATCTCGAGGGGATGGGTGCGCTTGCAGGAGGTTGGAATAGGCCTATGTTAATCTAGCGCTGCAAGAAGTGGGTGAACAGGCCATGGCTGGTTATGGTGGGGTCCCCCGCTGATTTTAGGTGTAAAACAGCGGGGTTGTGGCGGGGGTATGTCCTTGCCAATTGAGTTTTAGTGGTTACGTTTAAGTATATGGAATGAGATGAACAAGTTTTTTTAGGTCTCAACCTCCCCTGCTTAAAAGGTTAAACATTAGGTTGCCTGAGGTGTCGTGCCCATCGAGCGTGGATAAGGTCGGCTGATGGCGGGCATTGGAAATATATGATTTTTATGACGAGGGGGGAGGTGAGACAAAGTGGTGATTAGGAACCACTGTATGTATGTTTATTGGCAAGGACGATTGGGTCACTGTATAACACTATGGGTGGAGTTATATATGTATATATGTTAATTTATGCTTATTTATGTCTAACCTTTTGGTTACAGAAAGAAGAGATTTAATAAACAAAGTTATGGATGTGTTATGCAGTAATTTAGTTTGTGATAATAAATGCTGTGTTCATCCATACTAAGTGGTCTGTCGTTATTGGGGGGGTAAATGGGTTTAGATTTGTGCTAGGCTGCATCGCGATTCCCCACTACGTACATACATGTGCTCACACTACAGAGAGAGAGAGGTTTAACATCAGCCTCCACGTGAACCAAGACAGACTGTGGGACTGCACTGGAAGGACTACTAATGGGAACTGTGTTCCTGCTGTAGAAAACGTGCAGGAACACAGTTCCCAGGCATTCCTGCAGGACTCGAGCCCTGATCTTATGCTTTAAATGTCACTGAGAGGCCGTCACCCCGCCACAGCATTCAGTGGTCATGAAATCCCCTTGCGCCAATGCATAGAGCCTCTCAAGCTGCTTGGCATCTAGCAGGGCCTCACCCGTCACCAATCAAATGTAATCGTTTCACCACTTGGCTTTAGCTAGTAATCCAGTACTTTAAAAAGGTATACACAAATTACTTTATCTACACATGTCTTAATGCCAAGAAGGTGGAAAGACCTGTCCCTGCCCAGCACTCCTGCTAGGTCAGATACATCTTTACATAGGGGACATAGCTAGTCCTACTTCTATTAGATCTCGGACTATACCTCGTATCACAGCAGCACTTTTCAAATGCCACATACAGTACCAGAGACAGCTATATAACAAATAACCCAATTAAAAAAATAAAATAAAATATATATATATATATATATATACATACACCGCTAAACAGGCTTATAGAAGGGAAGCAACTGCTTAGATTTAGAATTAGGTCTAGAATTGGCAACCTGCCCTGTTGTATTATTCCATAAAGCAGGTTTAACCCCTTAAGGACCGAGGACGGTTTAGGACCGTCATCGGCATTTTTACATTGCTGACCGGTGATGGTCCTGAACCGTCCTAACAGTCTTATGTACTTACCCGATCTCCGTCGTTCCCCCGGCAGCGATCGCATTGCTCCAGGTGTGGGGAGACTGCCTGCAGCCCAGACAGTCTCCCCATGGCGGATTAGGACCCCTGGCCCCATGTGATCGCTCAACACAGCGATCACATCGCTCAACACAGCGATCACATGGTGTCTGCCTGCAGGGGTACTACCTGTGCTGACAGGCAGTCTCCCTGCTAGTGTAAAATAAAAAAAAAATTTAAAAAATTTATGTTATTTAAACAAAAAAATATATATGTGTATATAAATATGATATATAGACTTTTATTATATCTATATAATATATGTCTATATATCATATATATATAATGTCATACTAAGTGTATTTTTATATTAATATGTACATTTATTAATATAAAAATACACTTATAATTACACACGTGTATATATAATATATATAATAACTATATATTGTGTGTATATATATATATATATATATATATATATATATATATTTATTATAAAATACAAATAATAAGTAATTTAAATTAAAATAAGTAATTTAAATTAAAAAATGTAAAAATTAAAATTAAAAAAATTATATCTATATGAAATTTTATTCTAACTGTATTTTGATATTAATATATATATATATATATATATCAAAATACACTTAGAATGAAATTGTATATATATATATCTATATATATATAAATAAATAAAAATAATATGAAATATACATATGTCCATATACAAAATTACATAAATAATTATATAAATATACACGTAGACTTCAAATATATAAATATGATTATACATTTAAGTTCTACGTGCGTATTTATGTAATATATTTTTACATAATTAAGTAATTTTATTGATTGCAATTTGAGGGACCTGCCTGCCAACCCAGGCCAAAAGTCCAGAGAATTTAATTTGCTAGCACTGTATTTTACCCTGTAACGTTCTACGACACCCTAAAACCTGTACATGGGGGGTTTTATTCGGGAGACTTCGCTGAACACAAATATTAGTGATTCAAAACCGTAAAACATATCACAGCGATGATATTGTCAGTGGCAGTGACTTTTTTTGCATTTTTCACACACAAACAGCACTTTTACTGATGATATAATTGTTGTGATACGTTTTCCAGTTTTGAAACACTAATATTTTTGTTCAGCAAAGTCTCCTGAGTATAACAGTACCCCTCATGTACAGGTTTTAAAGCGTTTTTGAAAGTTACAGGGTCAAATATATGGGTCAAATATTTTTACATTGAAAATTGCCAGGTTGGTTACGTTGCCTTTGAGAGTGTATGGTAGCCCAGGAATGAGAATTACCCCCATGATGGCATACCATTTGCAAAAGAAGACAACCCAAGTTATTGCAAATGGGGTATGTCCAGTTTTCTTTAGTAACCACTAAGTCATAAACACTGGCCAAAATTAGCATTCAATTTAGTTTTTTACTTTTTTCACACACAAAAATATGAATGCTAACTTTAGCCAGTGTTTGCGACTAAGTGGCTACAAAAAAAGTCTTGACATACCCCATATTTAATACCCTGGGTTGTCTACTTTAAAAAAAAATATGCACATGTGGGGTGTTATTCAGAGATTTATGACAGATAATAGTGTTACAATGTCACTATTGATATATTTTAAGGGGTTAAATAGCTTACACGTAAATCTTTGATGCCAGTACAATTAATTTTTTTAAAAGCCAGTTATGTGGCAGGTACTATTAGGTAAAGGTAAGTTCCTTTTTGTCACAATACTGCTGTATTAAAATTGTATGTTGGTTAGACTATATTATGTACATTCAGTTGCTTTGGTTACCAGTAAAACATGTATATATCAATCATTACAAATACCACTCAGGTAGAGGTCATTAGCATGTCAAATACAGATATGATATAACAAATGTTACTCGAATTTATGTTTTCGGGTATTCAACATTACGTTTCCTTCACGTTCATATCAAATTCAAGACCTCACTCTTTCTCCTTTACATCAACAAAATACAATTTGAAACCCTGACTTTAACAAGAGGTGTGTTTTTCTATACGTTGACCCTAGCAAGGTCCTCCATTCGAACATACGTTACATAACTCTATATTACGTATATGTGTTCCTGTACATTTAAGATATCCAATGAATATTGACTTTCTGTCGTGCTATCTGTCTTTTCTCTAGAAGTTTCAGCAACATAAATTAGGATACAGATAAGTTGCGATACCACACCTATCAGATATATGGTGATAATATCATAATTATTATACTAATACATGTCATGATTAAGTTAAGTCACTTCCCCTTCATACTCTTAGAAGCCACTATAGCTGGCCAACTATGGCTTATGTAACTGGTTCTAAAAACTGTAGGTTTTGTTCATTCAGGGCCAATTTCAATACT